ACTTAAGAAAACATCAGATGAATGAAGTGGCAAATTCAACCCAAAAGGGTAATGGGAAAAAGGTCATGGAATGAAGATTTCTCTGAAGAAACAAGCGGACTCAGGAAACACAGGAGATTACATGTCATATACCCTCTAAAAGCCCTGAGATGGGTCAGATCAGAACAGTCATAACAGTGGGAAAAAGAGGGAAAGGGATTGTGAGACAATGGGGGAGATGAATGGAAGTAGAGAACAAGATGTACTGAAACAACTTTCAAACCTGTGAATCGACCCCCAAGGACCTCCAAAAGTGGGCAAATTGAAGGAGTCTGGCCCCACCAACCTTGACCATAAAAGAATGATCAGAGTAATCAAATGATCCCCACAAAGTGAAAAATGACACCAAGTACTGCAAGTCCAAACAATGGAAGTTGGAACAATGATAATCAAAAGCATGATCCTCTACAGCATGTGGGGGTTAAGGCATACTGACCCCAAATGGAAATTCCCCCAAAACATCTCAAATGAATCCCTAAATTTGGGGGAGGAGGAAACCCTAAATAATGACCCAAAGGCTTGTCCCCGAGAAGGGCAAAGGTTGAACACAGGAAATGGGAGATAAGTTTGTTTGTTTGTTTTGAATTTCGCGCAAAGCTACACGAAGGCTATCTGCGCTAGCCCTCCCTAATTTAGCAGTGTAAGACTAGAGGGAAAGCAGCTAGTCATCACCACCCACCGCCAACTGTTGGGCTACTCTTTTACCAACGAATAGTGGGATTGACCGTCACATTTATAATGCCCCCACGGCTGAAAGGGCGAGCATGTTTGGTGTGACGGGTATTCGAACCCGCGACCTGCAGATTGCGAGTCGAGTACCCTAACCACCTGGCCATGCCGGGCTGGGAGATAAGTACAGAAGATGCCTGAATAACAATTCCAAAGGGGAAAGAGGTCTCAGCAAGTACCCCAAAATGACACGTAACTAAAATGCATATCCAGGAGGAAGAAAAAGGCTGTCCAAAATCCAAAATTAAAAGATCACTGAAAACCTTTTGAGGACAATCATTAGTGTGTTTTGAGTGTTGCATGAAATTGGACAACTCCTGACAGACCAGAGCTGTCACATCATAGAATGCAAATTGTGGTTTTGACCTGTTGGATGTGGTTGGTAATTCCTCTGCCACAGTAAAAGCAGTCATAATCGTGATCACCCAAAACTCTCAGAATTGAAAGATGAGAGAAGATAAAAGAAAATAAATTGTAACTCTCCAAGAAACAGAACAAAAATGTAAAATAACAAATTAACTGAAGTAAAAATTCACAAAAGTAAAGATGTGTGGATAAGTTAATTAAACAGTGAGCAAAAAACATGACTAATCAGTAGGACTGCCAGTTGAGAAATGATTAACATGTGCATGGTTTGAGAGGGCACTAGTTACAAAAGGGATAGTGTCTTAATCCTATTGGTGGAGAGTTGCTGCATGATCATTTGCATATTAATATGCAGTAATAAATCAGAATAGCAAGGCTAGTGGCAAGTGAAAATTTGTCCTGGTAGAGGGCAGTAGAAGTTTAGAAAGCTTTTTGTGAGAGGAGGTAAGATATTGTATAGAAAGTTAACATTTTCCTAAACTGAAAATGTATTTCCAATAATACTTATCTCCGTTGATACTTACAGCTATTACTCGACCTCCAGGGCTTCTTTTGCCCATCTAATCATTGGTCTGATTTTTTTTGCTTGACCCAGTCTTTTATACCCCATTCAATTGCCCTTGGCAATATTTGTCTCATGATACTCTCCACCTACGTTAATGTGCCCTCTAACCTGGTACTGTATATATGCACCTCATTCAGATGTTATCACTTTTCGAGATTTTACTTCATCCCAGTCTCTAACACTAGCTCTTACTGGGGAAGAAGGGTGGGAGAGAGTCAGCAGAGGCAAGTATAATTGAAAATACATTTTCAATTTAGGAAAAACGTTAACTTCCAAAACGTATTTATCTCCGCTGATACTTATAGCTTAAATCCCACACTGAAAAGTGGATGGGCCAGTGAAGGCATTATCCATACAGAAAGAGCCTGCATAAGTCATGGGGGTTCCAAGAGAAGATTAGTACCTTAGTGGGGGAACTGCACTACATTCAGAACAGCTGTGCTCTTCACCCTGAACTTAGTTCCTTTACCAAGGGTGGAATTGTACATGAGTGATCATCACTATATGCCAGCCCCAACCAGACAGCTGAGGTTCCACTACTCAGGGTTGGAATTAAGGGGTTTTGGTCCCTAAATCCCACATTGATGGCTAGGGCAATTGGACCACAACACTATATATGTATATATATAATTTTGAATGGATCCCAACCTGTAGCTATAGAGTGATATGTTCCGAACCACCACAATCACGACAAGAAAGTAAGTACCATCAAAATGGACAAATCTTCTTCTCCACCTGAAGAAGCCTGAAAGGCAACATCCCAGGAACAGAACTCATACAGTCTGGAATTATGAATATTTACCCTCACTCCCCAAGAAGCCTTCTACTTTCCCCCAGAGTTATTGGGAGGACATGGAACAACTGTGCCCAACCAAAGACCCAGGATGGGACTACTCTGTGTTCTGAATTACGCAGAGACAGTAGACCCCCCTTCCATGAATAATGTACTGAACCGATATTGATAAAAAAATAATGGCCATGCACACCCCAACCAGATAGCCGAGCATCAAATCTGAACTGGTATTACAAGTAGGCCCCCTCGTAGGCTGGTGCTGCTCATATTGACATCTGGAAAAAAACATCCAGGGACTCGGGTAGGTGGGCCTCCAACTTCGTCCTCTTCTCCCAGAGTGGAGGAATTCACTCTAACACTCTGGAGGAAAAGCCCCTGTCCACCACCCCAGTGACTGGAAAAACTGGGTGTGGTAAGGACTCCCTAGTTCCACTAGTACAATCTGGGGGGTAATGCACAATGGGGAGTCCTGAGAAACAGTGCAATTGGTGAACCAAGTTCCCTAAATGTTTACAAGCAAACCAACCCTGATTTATTCAATCTAATGATTGGCAGGATCCTCTTTAGTTTTACTCATGATAGTCCATGGGTAGCAGTCCAGCATAGTATGGTAATACAACCTGGTGAACTCCTAAGTGGTCTTATGGAACACCTTATTTGAACCTGTTACAACTTAGCAGTTGCTAACTATAGTGAAATAGTGGTTGCTAGTGTGGAACCGAATTGATAAAAGCACACCTTCCTGGGGCAACACTTACCACAGAGTGGGGGAAAAAAAAGAGGACCCTGGAAAGTAAAGAGACAAGAGGAGTAAAAAAATACTCACCCTACCTTATAATCTAGCAGATGTGGTCAAAATAGCTACAGGGGTAGGCAAAAACCCTCAGAAGAAGAAACTGCTAGATCGTGTAAATAATGTGAAAGAAAAGTATTGGGAGAACTCCACATACCAGCCCACATGATGTCTTCCAGTAGGCAAATCAATTGGGCAGCTAAAGACAGAAATGTGACGAATCGGATGAGATGTGACTCAGATAGTCCAGAATAAGCAACATGGATAAAATTGCGGACCAACCTCATCAAGGTAATTGAGGGTAAATCACAGGAAACTGAAGGATCATAATGAACAAAAAAAGTTGATTTCTAGCACAAAGGAGTTAGTCACATAACACCTTAGGGTCCTGACAAGACGCAACAAACGATTGGGGTCGAAGCGGTTGTAGAGGTGAGAAATAACTGGCAACTCCTACTTGCAATGTCCACAGGCCAGCAGCAAGAAAAAATACACATTAAGGGAAAGGTGATATATAGTACATGGGGCTAAAAGTTTGATTGGATGCCAAGACAAAGCATGTAATACCACCTTAATATCCCAGTTAGGTAACTGAAAAGGCCTTTTGGGACGAAGGATGCAAAACGATTTGAGAAGTCCGGGATAGCACTGGGGACTCAAATAATTTCCTATGTTTAGAATACCAAAAAGTAGTTGATAAAGCTGCCTTATGTAAGGTGATAATAGACAGAGCTAGACCTTTGTTAAAAAACCAGGTCAAAAAACAAGATATGGTTGGCATATTTGGGTGAAACGGGTTCAATTTCCTCGTGAGACACCATTGGCAATAAGTGTGCCATTTCCATTGATAAATGACAATTGTGGGTCTACGGAGAGATTGAGACAAATACAAAGCAACTTTAGAAGTTAAACCCTGATGCCGTGTGAAGGACCGCATAATTTCCAATGCATGAAGTTTGAGCTTTGGAATGTCTGGATGTAGAATGTCGAATTGAGGTTGCCTCAACAGAGACGGCCCAAAATGAAGTGGCAGAGGTGGACACTCCTGAAGATATTGAGGAAGAGGAAACCATGGTTAGGCTGGCCAATCCAAGGCTATCAACAGCACTTGGCAAGGAGTGGATTGAACCATAGCCAGAACTCTGGGTAACAGACAAATTTGGAGGGGGGGTGCAATTCTGTCCAGTCTTGACTGAATGCATCTATTGCCAAAGCTCAATGATGAGGCACTGGGGACCAAAACACCTGTAGTTGAGGGTTCCAATGAGTGGCAAATGCATTGATCCTTGGAGTCCTGAACTGAGAATAAATCCACCAGAAAATCTCACAATATAGCATCCATTCCCTTGGGCCTAGACAGATGATCTGCTATTAAATTCACCACCCCCCAGAATATGACAAGCTAGGAGGCTGATATGATGAGAGTGAGCCCAGTAGAAAATATCCAAAGTTCAAAAACAAAGGTCCCGAAAACGCATGCCCACATCTCCAAAAGAGAGAGAGAACCATTCGTGCAGTAGGAGCCTGACTGCCTATTCCATAGCATAGAGCCAGATGGGTCTGCTGAGCATGACATAAATACGTGTAGAAAAAGACACCCAGATGGACAATGTATTGAGTCGGCATGAGAATGGATTTCTTAGCTCTGATATGAAAGCCAGCTTTGGTGGCTTCTGAAAAGAGAATCTGAGTGTGCCATTTTGCCAAGTAACAAGATGGTGCCAGAAGTAACCAGTCTTCCATATAATGATGTGTATACAGACCCAAAGAAAGAAGGTGATGAGAAAAAGTTTGTACAACATTTCCAAAAGTAGATCATGTCTTTGGGAATCTAAATATACGTCCTTCTGGTGGTGGCAAGCCAAAGCATACTGTTCTAACAAATGTGGGGGACAAGGCATAGCTATCTCTTCACATAACTGAGTGGTAAACCTCTCTGCATGAACAGCAATAACAGATGAAGGAGGAAAAACTAAGAATTCGTCCCCAAACCTTTCCACCATCAGGGAAGGAGTAGACTTAAAAGCAACTGGGAAAAGCCTCAGAATCTCACAAGGCTGATTGACTAACTGAAGAAATGGATCAGGAGGTGGCTGATCCAACTTGGCCTTGTGAGAAGTTAACCTAGTAAATGAAGGAGCTGGAAAAGTGAGTCTAAATTCTCTTCAGGATGCCTTGGATCATTGGCAAAAGCAGACTCAGAACCCCCTCGGAGAGACACCCCAAATATACATCTCCATCTCACAACGAATCAGGTCCCAGATAGCCTCGACTAAAAGTGACCCCCCCCTCCCAACCAGCAAGATATGCTAGATAACAGAGGTGGAATACAGGAGGTCTGATTAGCCTCCATGCTGGAAACAGTAACTCGTGAATTTGTGTCTGAAAACGATGTGTCAAAACAAAATGATTTTTTTTAGCTTTGTTAATATATTATTGAAAATAAATCAACTAGGAGACTTGAAAATCGCCCTCTAGGATATCAACTATCGCAGCACTTCTTTAGAGAAACCCATGTCTAAATGCTTTGGAGAAAAAGTGATAATATCTGATTACAGTACTAAGATAGAGGGTAAATTGACATGTGGAGAGTATCATGAGACAAATATCGCCAAGACCAATTGAGTGTGTATAAAAGACTGGAACTAGCGAGAAAAGGTCAGACCAATGCTTAAATGGGCAAAGAAAGAAACCCTGGAGGTCATGTAATAGCTATAAGTGTCAGTGGAGGTAAGTATGTTTTGAAATGAGGCTTTGCCAGTCTTATGCAAGGTTACAATAGCTTCTTAATCTTAAATCAAAAATTTCTATAATTAGAATCTTGAAAACTAATATTGTTTTCAACACAGATAAATTCAATTCATACCCTTCTTGCAGAAAGGAAACTAAAACAGTGTGCAATATTGTGAATGAGGTATAATCACCCTTAGACAGGGCTACATGTACAATAATATGGTGAATTTCCAGGGTAACATTCTACAATAATCAGTTATGAATACTGATGCACAATGACAATTATACTTAGTGTGTGTGAAAAGCTATTAATACTGGATATTACTATTCTGTATTAAATCCTAAATTGAAAATGAAAGAAACATGATAAAATAATTAAATAAAAACAGTAGAGGCTATTCTTTGATAGATAGTTTAAGCAGAGTATTGAGTTGAATGTGAAATTGGTGGCAACTGCCTATTAGAGAAAAACTCGTAGAAATACAATGGTGACTATCTACAACCTACTTATGTAGCTCAAATGTAGAGGACAACTTACAGCTGCATAAGTAGATTGTATAGTCACAAACATATTTATCCAAGTGTTTTTCTAATAGCTAGTTGCTGCCTATTTCACTGTCAACTGAAAGTAAAGAGGTTATTTCTAATATTAGTTCTTAATCTGGAAGGTTGTTGATTTAAAACTTAAGTTTTACATAGTAAACAAGAACGACTGCTATCACTTACATGTTTATTGTTTCCTATATAGTTGGTGCTTTTCTTACTGACTTGTTAACTTTGCAATTTGAGTTGTTTATGAGGAAGATGCAGTCAGTCTTTCAAGTTAAGTAATAACAGCAGTTCAGGTGAACCAGTACAATTGAATATTTCTGTACTAATTGACACACATGTTCATATTAATTTTGTAAGACTGAAGGTCACAAGTTTAAGATATGGCAAAACTGAAACACAACTCCAGTTAAGACAGTTTCTTGAATAACAGGGTGATAATATGCATCAGGTTAGGTATTAGCTTCAAAATTTAAGAAATTGAATTGAATTTTAGAAATCAGTGTTGGTAATAACAAAAATGGTTTCTTTATATAGCTTGGAGAAGTGTGAAAGTAGAAAATGAGTCGGTTTAGATGGACCAAATGGCCCTTCATTAGTCCTTAGGATGAAATATATTTTAGATGTATAGTCATAATTACTAAAAAATATATCCCCAAACTATATTTGTTCTTTCTACAATAGCAGTAAGATTAAGGTTCAGCCTTAATAAAAAAATTACACAAAATTTTTTTTAGAAATGGCAGGAAAAATTTGGAATGAATGCAGAAATATTTTACTAAAACTATATTTGATTTAAAACGCTTAAGCTATAAAGAGAGGTTCAAAGAACTGGACATGTTTATATAGAAAGCAGAACCTGAGGCAATTTCACAAAAATATTTAAGTTATTTAAAACTTGGAGAAAGTGCTTAAAGTAGGTTTATCTGAGTAATGCAATCATTACGTTAAAAATTATTGAAAAATAGGGTTAAAATAAAGTAATTACTCTGATATTTCAGGGTTTATTCAGTATCATCAGTCAACTGTAATAATTGAGATTATTTTTTAACTCTGTATTTGCCATTTTATAAATCTTTGAACTTGTTTTGCAAGATAAAATCAGTACTACAATCTTCGAAATTCAGCTTTAGAGTTTTTCTGACAGAATAATTTCTCTGTAAGAGCTATGAATCTCTGGACTGGATTGTTAAATGAATGTGTTTAAAACGATTTTAATCATTTATTGGGTATGGATTTACACTGTGCAACAAAAATCATTGTCTTACATTTACTATGTAATCACCTTTGCCACCAAAGGTGGACAGAGGTTATGTTTTCATCCCTGTGTGTTTGTCAGCAAGATTTCTCAAAAGGCTGAATGGATTTCGATAAAGGTTGATATACATTTGGACTTTGACTAAATTTAGAAATGATTAGTTTTTGGAAGGTCAAGGTCACAGTAAGGTCACAAAAATCCCCATCTGTTAATATGGATACTGAATTTTTCACAATACTGTTGCTTTATAACTCGATCAAAAATGATTGGAGTTTGATGAAACTTGGTAGACATATATTATTCCTCATTGTCCTACCCAAAATGGTCCATGTCTATTGATTATGTTAGATATAAATATACATTTTCATATATTTTGAGAGCCAAACATGATCAACCATTTGGGAAAATCCTTCTCATGAGTCAGTTTTGTGAGATTAACAATCTTTACACAATGCTGATATAAAGATTACTAATGTTAACAACCAAGAATAGCAGGTATGATAATTGATTTTATTTTCTATGGTAAGGCAGTGTTTACAGCAAGTAGCATTCAACAGGTTAATATATTTTGTTTGACATGTTATTCAGTAAGTTACATATTAATTCTGAATTCTCTTATTCAACATAATTCACAATGACTGATATCTCAATTACACTGGATTAATATTTTTGAAAATATTTAACTTTTTTTTTTTGTTTTTGGTGTTGACACAAAAGTTTTCTTCCTAAACATGTATTTTGCAAGCATGTACTAAATAAATTCCTTGGAATTAGATATTTTTCTCCAACCTTATTTTTTCTCCTTGAACCATGATCATGAAATGATTGCACATTTTCTGATAAGTTCAAGTATCTTCATTAACTTTAAAGAACTGCCAAAAAGTTAGTTTTTAATTTTTAATAGTGCATTTTCTGTGATTATTCAAACAGTTAGACACACAAAAATGCTGATTTTAAAACTGAAGTAATGAATAAGCATTATTCAATTTCTTGCATACTTGTGATTAGACATAGCAGATCTCAAAGGACCCAGAGTTGTATATTAGTATTACTATACGTTAGAATCGTTTATTTTTGAGATACATTGTCTCTCACTCAAGTTGTATTAAACCATCCTCAAGCATTAAATGCAGTAATGGTGGGCAAAACCATAGTCACCTCTCAAAGATCTTTAATTTTATGAGGCTTTACTAATTAGGTTACAGTTACACCCACATACATATACTGTAAATAACTGAACTGTACGTTTTGGAGATTGAGGTGAGGGCAGAGAGGATGATCTTGTTGAATTTAGCTAATCTCCTGGCTTTGCGTTTTCTCATGATAATTTTGTTGTTATTTAACTTGAAGTTGAAGCTTGTCGAATTCTTCAGAAGATTGTGGTAATGAACAAGTGCGAAATAGTGTTTCTATCGTTACTTCAAGTTCAATAAGTATGGCAGTATGGTACAATGGCAGTGGTAGTTTCTAATAGTGATATTGATAGTATTACTTGGGCTAGGTAAGAAGAATTAAATTGATAAATTAAACTATTGTAATATTACTATAGGCTATGCAGGTACGATTAATAATACATAAAAGTAAAACGACGAAAAAGGAAAAAACATCAAGTTAAACTCACCTTTTGTAGGCCTAATTTCTTATAAATAATGAATGCTCATGTTGAACAATTGCGTCTTACACAAATAGAGTTACAACCCCCTTAAAATAATTAAGACATTGCACCAACCTTACAGATATTCACGGACACATATTATTATTAACGGTATAATGCTACATTCTCGCTAACAGGACGTGACGTTAGACATTCTTATACTTTAAAGATGGCGCCACAAACAAAGGATACGACGAGTGTTGTGTGTGTATGGTAAGCAATTTAAATTTTTTTCTTTATTTGTTTATATTTACAAAAAACAAGGGGAGTATTTAATTTTTGAGAGATAACTTATGCTGTAACTTCTCACTTTCATTTTCTGGACTATACGTATATACTCTTGACAACAACAGTTTATTTCAAGATATTTAAAAATAGATTTTGACATAGTACTGGTTTTTAAATTTTAGTATTAATTACTACCACTAACTGTAATGGTAGTACTTGTACTATATAACTTGTATTACTGTTACAATATTTGTAAACACAAGCATTTGAAATTTTATTAAAATAATTTTTCAGTTAGAGGATTTATACAAGTAGTTCTTTATTTAAGGAGGTGTTTTAAATGCTCAGTTTCAAATCTGACATGTATTATGAATTTTATATAAATATAAATTCTTAATGACTATATTTACTGCTTTTATGTAGTAGTATGTAAAACTTGTCTGATATTACTAATAATTAGCATGATCCACCAGCTAAGGCATATTTACATCCTAAGTTTTGTGGAAGAACATTTTAGAACCAGTGGATTTCTTATTAAGAATAAAGTTATTTTACTACACAGAACATCATTTAATGTTTTTTTCTAAAATTATTATCTTACTTTAGAACAAAGTGTAGTTAATAAATAACTTTTAAGCATGGATAATTTTTTTTTCATTAGCAATACCATTGAAAAATGAAGATAACTATATGTATGGCTTATGTTTTAGGCATTGGTCTTAGTGAGTGGATTTTATGCAATACCAGAAATGTAATTTTTATTTAAATATTGCCTGCACTGGAGGCATTGTGAAAGTTATAGATGGATTTTTATTTTAGTATAATCTTATATTTTTACTGATTGAGGAAGCCCAAATTAAGTTAGAAGTAAGTGCAGGTCTTTTATAATAAACAATACATACTCTTTTTTTTTGTTTCTAGTGCCATAGACAGAATTGGTTGATGGGATCACAAATAAATTCTCTCTAGGACAGGTTTAGTCATTTGTTAGATTTAAAAAAAAAATCATAGAATTTAAAACTGCCTCATATGAACACTGTGGCTAAGAGATGTTATGTGACTGCAGTTAAATATTTTTTTTCTAAATTTCTATTAAATTTTCAAATTTTTCTTCTAGTGTTTTTCCTAGGTTCTGAAATAAAAGAGAAGACAGGCAAAAAGGTGAGATAATTATATAAGTTATGCTTGTCTAATGGCACTCCCATATTTAATTCATCACCTATTTCGACGAAAGAGGTTCTGTGGATTAATCATTGTTGTTGGATTAATGTTTCTAGTATACCAGGTTTGGCTGAGTATTGAGCTGTCAAGGCGAAGGCATCAAGTTTTAAAATTTCAAAATACTGGAAGCACTAAACCATACCAAAAAGCTGATGCTATTATTGATGTAATTGATAGTGGCTTTCTAATTGGACAGAAGAAATACCACAAACCAAGTTTTGAACTCCAAGACTCCCAGTCATCTCCTCACTCTGTGGAGTTTAAAAAGAAATATAGTAAAGACCTGAATCAGGCTCAGCATTTAAATAAAATGGACATTCCATTTGTTCTGGGTGTAATGGCCAGCAAGCAAAAGTTGTACTTACCAAATCAACAAGGAATGTTTCAGTGTATCAAGGACAAGACCCAGATTCCTCTTGACCAGATTAATGATGATTTTTGTGATTGTTTAGATGGTTCAGATGAACCAGGCACTTCAGCTTGTTTAAATGGCAGGTTAGTTACAAACCAGTTTTTGTTTACAAAAATCCATTTAATTTCAAGAGATAAACACAAATCTTTGCAAAAAAATTATGTTTTGGTAGTAAATTGCATAGATTTATAATGTAAAATATCTGTAGATGTATTTACAAAATATTTAATTGTAAAGTAAGATCGTAAGTTCAGTAGTTCTGTAATTTTTAGTAATTATGGCAGAAACTTTAGAAAAGCCTAATTTTATGCTGAACAAAGTAATATGCATAATCTAAGTTATTAAGCCATAGTTAATTCTAAAGAATTAGTTTCCACTTTAAGGATCAAAAATTAAACTTGATTAAAGCTGTTTTATGGTAGTTTTGTGTAATTTTTATGGTAGTTGGTAACATTTAAAAACATATTTATTACTGTGGAACATCAACAGGCCTTTAGGCCCATCAAGGATGTCCTGACTTCCAGCCTCTCTCAACAAACATAAAAATTAGTAAATAAATTTGGCTAGGACTCTACAAATACTCAGCTCTTTTCATAAACTTCTCTAATGTTTCAGCCTCTACCACTCTAGATTGGTAATTTTTTCCATAGTTTTACCACCATATTGAAGAAATAAAATTTTCAACTGAAGATGTATGTGCCTTTTCTAAGTTTCAGTTTTATGACCCCAGTTCTACTCCTTACAAAAAATTTAAATTTCAAACTTTGTAGTATATATATATATTTTTTTTTTATTTTTATATGCTAAAAATTGGAAATGATTATCACACCATAGGGCTGATCTTGACAATATATCTTATTTGATTTCTAAATTATTTACAAAAATAATGGAGGAATCTATTGTGAAATGAAAGGAACATGAGTTCTATTCAGGAACTTTTCTAGAAAAAATAAATACAATTGACTACCTAGAGTTTGGGTAAATAACAGTATTACAAGGTAAGCAAATTGGATAAACAATTGTGTTGTTTTCCATTATACAAAGCATTTGTAAGGAATACGACTTACAGTTTTTAATATTCCTTTTTTAAGAAGCAGTCTCAGGTCAATTGTACATGTATAGACAGGTGTAAAATCTTCCACTCTACAGTAACAGGTTTTGGTTATAAAAATTTGTAACTCTTTCAATCTGCAATAAAGGTCTTGATTCCAGCATATTTGGAATTCACACTCTTCATCCAAGTGTCTTGTTTCCAATATTTTAAGATTTTCTAATCTATAAGGAAAGAGTTGTTATTTTGGACATTTTAAGATCTCCACTTTAAAGTAAAGGTCCTCTTATTTCTAACATTTTTTTAATCTCTATTCAACAATTTTAGACTACAAAAGTAATTTTATGAGGTCAATTTTCTTCTTCTATCAACACTTATAGATATTCATTGTTTTATGGTAATTAGAAGTGCCATTTTTTCTATTTTCTGCTTTATTAAATAGATGCACATATTTAATCTATTCCTTATTCTATGAATACATTAATCTTGTTTAATTTCTGTAGGTTTTATTGCACTTTCCAACCTAAGCATCATGAAGGACCCATTTTTATTGTGTCTAGCAGAGTTAATGATGGAATATGTGATTGTTGTGATGGGAGCGATGAGTGGCTTATGAAACAGCCTCCATCCCATGTCCAAATTTCAGGTGACTGTTTGATAGCTTTTATATTAAAAGTGAATTGAGTTTTATTATCTAACTTACTTGCATCTGAATTAAATTTACCTCAAATTATTCTGTGCTTTAGAGAAACCAAGTGCAAATTTCTAAGCCTCTTTCCATAGCTTTAAAAAGACTTAAACAAAAAATCATTCTGTTAGCCTATTCCTGCACTGTTTCCAACATGTTGACATCCTTCCGGTATTAAGGAAACCCAAATTGACACAGTACACCAAATGATGCATTGCTAGATTCTTGTACAAAACCATAATAGCCTTCCTGTTCTCAAATTTAGTTTTTCAGTTAGCTTGATCAAACTAACAAAACAATCCAAGCTTTATTATCATTCTTTTCTTTTAGATTAGTCACCCAATCTTTTTTTCTCAAAATGCCTTGCAATTTATGAAATTATCTTTCATAAGAGCTGTATATGAGTCTTATTAACTCAACAATTAGTTTCAATATCAAAGATAATTTCAATGCTATTGTAAAACTAAATTTTTAACTATATCTTCTTAAATAATAAGAAAAAGATATAAGAGCAGCACTCTTCCTTATAAGGTCTCAACAAAATTTTTAGCTTCATGTGATGATGGTAGATTTACCTAATCACTTTCCTTAACATTACAGTTCTTTAGGAGTCCATGGGTTTACACTCATGGGTAAAACACTATGCATGGAGTGGTGAATCTCTGAACTGAGAAGTACCCAATGATACCTGAGGTTGAGCAGGACTGTATAATGAGTTGCCATGAGCAAATTGTCACCATGATGCCCCGGACCAGGGATTGATTACTCATCTCAGTGTCTGGTTTCCTGAGTATGCCTATCACTCCGCACCTCTGACCTTGGCAGCATCTCATCCAGTAATTGGCCAAGAACCTATAAGGGAGAAGCTTTAGTCAACACTACAAGAATGTTTCTGTTAGTGAAGCAAAGCAGATTTAACCCTCAATGTTCAAAGGTGTGACATAAGAAGAAGACTTGGACCATTTCTTTTTGTGTTTCAGGCAAGTAGCAGCCTGGAATAGCTGGACTCAGGAACAGGCAGTCAAATGCCTGATTCTGAGCCTGGACACCATCGAGCATCTGGGCAAGGATGCCATCTCAAGTCATACTGTCTCACCTGACAAGAGCTTAATACACTTATTGATGAGTAGTTGTTGGAGTTAGGAGCTAAAAACAGTTCTGATCATCAGACAAAACATCAAAGTTTACCTCCAAATCAATATACTTGTGGGACTAATTGAGTTCAAAAGTTAGGTCAATCCTGGGGTCGAGCATCCAATGCTTGAAAGGAAGTGGCAATTATTGCTTTCCAAGTTATCAAGTGATCTATACAAACAATGTATGCATTACATTTGTGTGACTTCCACTTCTTTATCCATTTAGGTTGGTCAGGCAGTCAAAAGATTGCTGATTGAAAGGGTGTCATGACCATTTCTTTTCAAATGACCCATTGAGTTATATTGTAAGGCACAATGTATGCACTTTGTAGTAGTGTTACCACTCAACCAAAATTTAGGGTGATTATGGGGTCAATTACTTGATTACTGGAAAGAAGTGGTAATCTGAGCTGTCGGATAGTAATGTCCAGCACAATGTATGGACTACATTTTTTGACTGTTAGTCGATTATCATAAGCTAGGATGGTTAGATAGTCAAAATTGATCCTTTTTAAATAAGAAGTCAACAATATTAAAAGAAAATTATCCCAACCCCTTAACCAAAACATGTGAAAAAATATGAAATATAATATTCAGAAATGAAATGATTGTTTATTTTCCAGAACAAACAAAATTATATTCAAGAAGAGATAAAAATAACTAAACTTATAATTTGACACAGGATGATCTTGAGCATTTTCTTGGAATTTTGGTTTTCTTTAGATAACATTTTGTTACATCAGAAAGAAATTACTGGAGTGACCAATCTGAATTGAAAGCTTCTTTTGTTTCAGAACTAATGAGCAGAGACAAGTTTTTAAACATAAAGAAATACTTTCATACAACTGATAAACAGAACCTTAAAAAGGAAACAAAATACCCAAAGTGTAATTTCTCTGTCAGAGATTCAATGAAAATATTGTTCAGTGGGGAATATTTCATGGAAAGCTCAGCATTGATAAATCAATAGTACCATATTTTGGAAAACAGTGCCAAAATGTTCAACAAAGGCAAGCTGATACACTTTGGCTATAAAACTTGGGCACTATATGGGGAGGATGGTTACCAATACAAATTAAAAATTTACTCCAGAAAAGATCAAAGTGCAAGAACTAAAATCTATTTGGGCAAAGAGTTGTTACAGAAATGTTAGATGCAGTAGGGATAGGGAAAAAAATTATTCACTAAAACATCATGAGGTACACTTTGACAACTTCTTTACAGGTACAAAACTTTTCAAATCCATTGTGGAAAAGGGGTATAAAGCAATTGGAACTATTTATGAAAATAGAACAGAAGGAGAAATAAATGTCATGAACTCTAACAAGGAACTAAAGAAAGGTCATAGCATTTTTTACTTTGGCTGAAGTGGGGAACTTATGTGTGTAAGTGGAATGACAATTTAATTTTAAATGTTGCTAGTAATTCCTACACACATGAACCACTTCATACTGCACAAAGACAAGCTAGAGGAGGAAGCAGGTTAGAAATAAAACAGCATAATTTGATTCTTCTTTATAATAAGGAAATAGGAGGAGTATATTTGGTGGATCACCTTCTAGCTACATATAAACCATTGCAGGAGCAGGATGTAGAGTTTCTTCTACCTATTCATGTCACTGCCTGTGTCCCCCATTGTTGGGTCCACAGGCTTAATATACCATTATCACTCATAAAACTGACCCCTTTTTTCCAATTTGAAGTGTGTTATGGGCAAAGAGGTATCCTGTTGAGAAGAATTCCCTTTAGGTTCATTCTTTTTATAAGTCTAGTCTGCTCGACTCATCTTCCTTGAATCCAGTTCTCTGGATTATTTTCTGGCTCTGAATTCTACTCCAGCTCTGCTTGGGTGCATATTTCTAATCTAAATTATTATCTTCCTACCATATAGCTTGTAGTTTTATATCTTTGGTTTCTTTTCATGTTTATTGGTTCCCACCCTTATACAATGTAATTATTCCAGCTTTAATTATTTCAAATAAGTCTATCTGATTTTAATTTAAAATTTCTTGAATTAAAATCGATTTTAAACAGGTACTTTATCCTGAAATACTCTTCCTCACACCTTCCCACAACTGAATTCTCATCTAAGTTATGGCAGGAAAACAGCTTATGTAAGATCACTGATGCTTGCACACTAAGTTGTGCAAGGTTGGAGAATTTTGGATAAGTGAATGAAATACGTAAAGGACATGCAAAATTTTTTAGTCACATTGATTAAACTCAACAAGGAAAGGTAAGTGCTTTTTTGAAATTGATTTTAATCCTAAAATTTAGTTTGGTTGTTTTGGTGGATGGAGGGATATTCTTATAGGCTCAAGTGACCTTTCTGTATACCATGGTCTTTTATGTTTGTAGTAGGTATTGATATATGATATTTGGTTTTACTTTTTATAAACATCTTTGAGTCACTTGATGTACTGAAAGTTTGCAAGATAAACCAAGGATTATTTATGCTTATAAATGAATAAGGAACCAGATTATTAGTAAAAATGTACAATCAATAGTAACATACTGACATAGATGTAAATGATTTTCAAGTACAGCTAAAAACTGATTAAAACTGTATTTCAGAGGCTAACCAAGTCCATCTGGGAGTGGACCAAGTTCCATGTCATAACCGTTGTCCCAGCATTTAAAGTGAATAATTAAATGAAGAATGGTTTATTTATAGGAGTTTCTATCTGCAGCTGCCAAAAGCACTTACATTCAAATCAGGAAGCACAAAACTAGTCATGATTAGACAGCAGGTACAAGGTGCTACTCACAAAGTATCTTTTTCAAAGAAGCATGAGCTTGTTTTTGATGTCCCACTTTTGATGGCTTAAAACATTATCTATGAATTTGTAATCATTTCAAAATTGGGAATACATCTGGCTTGTGATTCTCATTTTTAATCTTTACTGCATCTTTACATTTGCTATAAAGAAAGGTTTAAGTTAATGTAAGTAACTTATCCTTAATAAATATATTTACAATATTGTATGTAACATGATGAGATTGGTATTATTTTGTTGTGCAAATTACAATCAAATAGAAAATTTTATCTTAAAAAGGTGCCAACTGAAGGTTTTATTGACCACTAATTTTAAAATTGGCACCATAAGGACAAAGATGATCTGACAGGACAGAAGAGTGGAATGCAGAAAAGTAAAGTTCTAAAAGCTCCCAAAGTTTTGAATATGCATTTTTTAAAATTTCATGTTAGATTTCTTTTTCTACAACAAATGTTCCATGCTGACACCTTTTAGTATATTTATAAGTGACTTAATACTGCTGCATTTCTGATAATCAGACAGTACACTTTATGCATTGAAATAATGATGGTCTGGGGTTATAGACTATAAGGGAAGTGTATGTAGAGTTTTATTTTTACTTTGAGCAGCTTTGGAAATTGTACATCACCTGAGCAAATAAAGTAATGCACAATATGTGATACAAAGAAGAATTTCTATTTTTTTTTGTTTGAAAGAATTGTGTATAAATTATGATTATTGTATTTGTTGTTCCATACCTCAGTTTAACAGTTTGGAACTTCTTTAGAATTGTAATTCAATTTTAATTGATACTGATATTTAACATTGATGGACTTTTTAAGTTGCAGGTCATAACAGGTGTATATGTGTCTGTATATATATATATATATGTATAAAACTTGGAAGATAAGATAGATATACATGTATCTTCAAGAGAATGAAATAATCATTGACTTATTCTTACTTGTATTCTTCCATTTTAACAAATGTTTTTTTACCAGACATAACAATCAGTCAAACTGAAAATAACAATGCATTAGATGCAGTTTAAGTCAAATACAAGAATAGCAATTTACAGCATTAATGAAAATTTATGAGAGTTTAGCTTCATCACTAGTTTAGTTTGGTATTTAAACAAAAATCTATTCTTATGGGTGCCAAGAACAGCTTAAAAAACATTCATCTGTGTTCCAAAGGTGTATGCTATTTTAATAAGACATTTAACAGTTGTAACTACTTTGTTTTATATGTGAGCTTATAACACTAAAATTTGGGGTTCAATTCTCTACAGTGGAAACAACACAGATAATTCATTGTGTAGCTTTGTACTTAACAACAAACAGAAATGTGGGCTTATTTTTAAAGATTGCCAATAAGGGTAATAACTTTCATACGTGTAGTATAAATATATAAAGGTCCTTCTCCTAGTCCATACTGCTGTAGACTCTAAATACATTGTCCTGTGAATATTGTCACAAAAAAATACTTATGCTAATATTTAATTAAAAACGAGTTTCTAGTGAAAAACTAAATTATAAAATTACCATAACTCTTTTATTTATTTTATAATGTGCTTTGACCCATTACATAAAAATATCAAGTTCTGGGGAAAAAACAACAGTGAAAACTGTTTTCATTGTAAAACCAAAAAAGAAAAAATAAGGTAGGTTTGAATTAGAATAAATTTCTTATTAAAATTGTATTCTCAAATGTATTTTTTGTTGAAGATTACACTTTTAAACTTGAAAGGAAATTGAATATTCTGTAATACATATTTCATGTTGCCAACCTTTATTTATTTTTACTATAACTGTATTACTACATAACTTATCACTGTCTGCCAAACTATCCATATTTTGCTAACCACAGGAAGTGCCTCTTAAGCTTTTCAAAGTATAAAACTCTTGTACAGTTTGATAAATTAGCAAAAAATGTGATGTTATATTCTGCTGTGCACAGAGCTATTTTAATCCATAAATTGAAGATTTTTATAAATACACTTAGTAACTTTTGTGTATGATAAAGAAAGTTTCTGTAAAATATATGTATATTTTAAGTTTTGTTTGTCTTTCAGTAAAACTTTTCTGAAAATACCGATTTTCTTGAATGTTTTTAACAATCACCTCAGTGTCAGTTATTAGCATAAAAATCATAGAAAATGTTTGCAACGTTGTAAGTCTTTAAACAAGCATAGTCTGGACTCTTAGATCTGAACAGTTTAATATAACCACGAATTATTAGTGCTGTATGGTAACTATTTATTTTGAACTATTAGAATGAAATGTAACTAATTCTAAAGAATTAGTGCTGAATTTTCATTCTGAGCAGATCACATAGCAATCACTTTATTCCTTTTTTTCCAACTACCAATTAAAGTATTCTGTCTGGCTTAAATTGTACATTGTTACAGCCAATACATTTTTTAAAAAATGAACTTACGTGAAAAGTAAATTTTAGTTTATTTCCATCCATTTTCAAAATCAGTTTACTGAAACAAGTTTTAAAACTGCACAAAACTCTGTAGACGAGACATTTCGCAATGGCTGTGGCCATGAAAATAACTTTGTAGCATATGAAATTAACATCAGCCATTTGTGGTATATAATGTCAAATAATTAAGATTTCATTACATTAAGGGATATAATTGCCTCTAACTTATATTTTTATAGCTTAGCTTAAATGTAAAGAAATTGATATAATTTAAAATTGAAAGACTTAAATATGAGTTATAGTGTAAAGAACATAATCAATACATACAGACTAAAAAATACTAATTATTCAATTTTGTAAATGTTTAATATTAAAAATTTAGTTTTTGACAACAATTTGAAGACCAGAAATAACATTTACATACTTTTATATATACTTATACATACAAGTATTTTGTAAGAGATTATTATGTAAGTAACATTGCTAGAGCATGAGCATACACAGAGAAATTTTATAACAAGTAATGATTCAAAATACAAAAAGGGACACCAACCCATAATTTTTGTATACCTTACTAATAAAAATTTAAGTCTTGATTTAATTTGTGGCAAAACTTATCTAACAATGACAAGGAGTTCATGAAATAAAACTGGACACTTTTGTTAAAAAAAAAGGTTAAATATATCATTGGACTACCATGAACTTTATGGATAACACTAATTCAATTTGATAATGAAATGATAAGATATAGGAAGGTTTCAACAGAAATGTTATGTTACTTCTCCATTTCTTCGTCGTGAATGTTGACAGAAGAAAGCTAAGTCGAAGTCTAGCTTCAAGTTTGAATGGCTGCATTGACATTGTGAAAAGCTGTATGCGGTCTGAGTGAGATCAAAGTGCTGGATCATAAGGTAAGTCGGATCTCGTGGGATGTTCTTGCTATGACTAGCTATTACTTTTTTCTTTCAGTATGGCGAGTTAACAAAGTCCATCAATAAACTGCAGTTCAAATATGACTGAGATTTTTTGCAGTTGTAATCAGGCACTAGAGGCTTATATTTTCTTGGTCTATTTTATAATTGATGGAAAAGCCCTGACTATTAAGTTATCTGATAAGGTCATCTTTGGCCACAGTTCCTAAATACACATTTGTGATTGCACTTTTGTATGTGCAAATGTGTACTATCTTGTTACTTAAAGTGATTGAGTTGCATCATAGTTTCTTTTAAAACTACATATAACTTTGAGCATATTTTTAGTTATTCTTCTCTTCCCAATTTTTCTTACAATGTAGTTCATTGTGCAATAGCTTGGATCACACATTATAATTCTCTTGCCATTGTTGCTTTTATTTTAATCCTCACATGTTGTTGTAACTTTAAGAGACTGCATCTTTTGGCAAAGCAAACTATGCATACATGTTTACAGATGCACTGTTCATGTTTTAGATATCTTCTGGAAGATCTAATAATTGGTATTAAAGCAGAACATGGATGGCTAGTCTATTCATACTGCGAGTAGACATCTGGGATTGAAATTGCATGTGTTTGTACGTTTAGAGGTACCATGCACCTATTGAAAAAGAAGTTGTTTAAATGTTTTTTTTTCGTTTATGTTTCTTAAATATGGTTCGTAACATAAATAAACACAAAGAGTAATATAGCGATAGAAACTTTGTCTTCATTAATGACCACACTGTTGTGGTATTCCAGTTCACTAATGTCCAAAAAATAGTGCAGTAATGGGAGGATTGAAAAGATTTGCTTGCAAGAGAATAAAGTAAAGACAGTAAAGAAAAATGCAAACACAAGTGAACAAATAAGATAAAAATCTTTATTTTTGAAACTGAACAAGAGATATTATCAAACTTAGCTAATTCTGGAGTTGGAACAGAAAAAAAATGTATCTGCATGAGATAAGACAAAATATATTGTCTATGCCAAACTGTTAAGTCAGAACAAAGTCCTAATGTTGTACCAGACTTATGGAAAAGTCTCTATGGTATCTAACTTTAGCCCAAGGTGAGGATTAATGCCAGTTTATGGCTAATGACATTTATTCACAAAGATGCTAACTTACTACACAACTCATTCACAAATGATTATGAAAAATTTACTTGTTATATCTGAAAAAAAAGAAGAGATGTTCTTTCCTAGTTAGATCTAAGTACAATTTAAACTTGCTATTTTACCCTCTTTCCTTATCTCAGGGCCATCTGAGGCCAGAACATTTTGAAATTAAGTTTATTAACTAACCTATTCATGGTTTCCATTAATCATCTCTTTAGATGATATTGTTACGACAGCGGAAGTCGCGCGACGCTGGAGTTCTAGAAAGATCGAGGAACCTGTCGAACATCCTAGCATTTGCTAGATGCATGCTTTTATTGTATATAAGCCAGCAAATAAAGTGACAGCAATTGATTGAATTGCATACAGAGAGATATAGAGACAGATAATCGAGTCAAGCTGTAAGTAAAGTGTATGAATCGTTGTGAATTCTAGCATGTGTTTAAGTTAAAGTGACTGTGGAAATTAAGTGTACTGCTAAGTTGAATTGAGAAAGAATAAACTAGTTTTATTTAAGAAAGGACTTGTATTGCTGAAGTTCTTCAGAAAGAATTTCTACGGAAAATTAACAAACGACCAGAGACGTAACAAATTGGTGTCAGAGAGTGGGATGGAAAATAAAAATATAAAAAAAGAAGAAGAAGATGATGGAAATGAGAGGTGGCAAATCAAACTACAGCTTAGCAGATTTGATGGCAGCAATACAAGAACAGCAAAAGAAACAAGAAGAGAGACAACAGCAGTTGCAAGAAAACCTGCAACAGTGGCAGCTCGAACAGCAAAATAAACAAGAAGAGAGATTACAGCAGTTGTTGGAGGAAAAAGAAAAGAAACAAGAAGAGAAATTACAGCAGTGGTTGGAGGAAGAAGAAAAGAAACAAGAAGAGAGATAACAACAACAGTGGCAAGAAAACCCGCAACAGTGGCAGCTCGAACAGCAAAATAAACAAGAAGAGAGACAACAGCAGTTGCAAGAAAACCTGCAACAGTGGCAGCTCGAACAGCAAAATAAACAAGAAGAGAGAGTACA